TGTGAATAAAAAATTTTGATAAAAAATTGTTCATATATTAATATTTTGTAATATCTAAATACAAATCAATTAATAATAAATCTAATATTACGTAATAATTAAAAGTGGTGAGAAGAGAGCATATATCCCACTAATCACATCGTCTAGCTAAATACTTAAGTTTTTTTAGGGTTAAGGGTCATCTTTACTCTTATTGTAGATATAATTTATCATTTTCGCTCTCATGATATTTTCACATTAATTTTATCCATAAAATTATTTAATTGCATCATTCTATACTCTACCCTTAACTTAAAACCCTAAATTATAAACCCTAAATTATAAATCATAAGTTTTGGTTTATAGTTTAGGGTTTAAGGTTTATATGATATGTGATTATGGTTTAGGGTTTATACTCTAGGGTTTTAAATTTAGGAGTAAGATATAAAATGATGCAATTGAGCAAGTTCGATGGCTAAATTGATGTGAAAATACGATAAAGGTGAAAGTGATAAATTATATATACTACATGGGTAAAAGTTAATCTTTTACCTTTTTTTATTAATCAGGGTAAGTATAAAATAGTAATTAGTTAAAGATAACTCTCATACTTTAATATTTTTGGTGCTCAAATCCTCTCTGATGTACTTAATTATTTTTCAAATAATTTTATAAAATCAAATTGAGTCAAAATCTATGGAGTATCATTTGGTCAAAACTTTTATATGAGATGTTGAGAAAATATATTGGCTCGTATGGGGTTTCGTCGGAATTATTTATGGAGATTGAGTGAATTTCATAGAATCAGAGAAGACGCCAAAAACATAATGCATCTTTCCTATTGTTCATCCAATTACAACGTCAATACTTTCAAAATAAAAAGACAAAAGACACACTACAATCATCACGTTTTCTCAAAGACGCATAGTAATTTCGACATCCTCGTACGAATATTATAGTATTCATCCTACCTTTAAAAATAATTTCGATAAGATCCTATACGAGACCATATAATTTTTTCGACACCCCAATAAAAAAAAGTTTTTGCCAAGTACCGTTTGTAATGTTTTTACCCACTCAATTTCATACTCGATTTCCTTTTGTTTTTCAGTGTAGAACGGGCGTGTTAAGAAGGGGAAGTTCTACAGTGCGGTAGGCTTAAAAACGGCTAAAATAAGGCGTTACCGGTTTTTTTATCGTTTAAATAATAAAACTGGTAAAAATTACCTAAATTTTTCTGGTAATTACTTAAAATATTATGTTAATCTGGTCATTTTTTAAGCCTAATAATGTTTTCGGTATTTTTTTTTGAAAATCCGATAAAAAACACCCAATAATAACAAAACCGGTAACTTCTAATAATGTTTTCGGTAATTTTTACCAATTTTATTATTTAACACAATAATAAAACCGATAACTCTTTATTTTAACCGTTTTTTAGTCTGTCTCACCGGAGGTACGCACGCACACTGCAAAAGCGTAGGCCCGCCATCTCTCGGCGTTGGTTTTCTCATTTTTTGTATTTTAGTTAACGGTGGGACCCACTCAATGGCCCACAAGGGACAGCACCACGTGTCCTTAATGATCATCCACACGTAAACATCTGATGATCCTCTATGCTGACGTGGACATCTAAAGTACGACAGTGGTCCCTCTTTTTCTTTGAAGGTGGGCCCTTCTAACACTTGTCTCAGTCATCTTAGTTGGATCTAGTAATAGTGGTGTCTATTTTTCTTAAATTACACCCCACAGTCATCTATTTTTAAGATTGTTATACTTTGGCCATTCAAATAAAAATATACGTTTTAATCATCGCCTTTGAGAAATGTTTTTATTTTTGTTATTTTGTCGTTAAATCAAATAAAAATATATATTAATTATATTTTGACACTTCTTTGAAATTGATTTTTAAGTTAATTAATATTTTTAATAATTTAGAGTGATTATAAGATAATATATTATGTACTTTCTTAGCTTTATTATAACACACATACACATCATACAAACATAATATGCTCGAATCAAAATCCTTTAGGAGGCGTTTGGATGAGGGAATGTGGGATTCCCATTAGAATGGAATCCACATTCTCCCGTTTGGTTAGCCCGAGAATCTCATTCCCGGTAATATAAGATTATCAATAGTGGATTTTTAGGGTATATTATCGGGAATGTCATTACCTCATTTTCCTTAGGTATTGTCGGATTACCGGCGTTTTGGACTAAAATGCCCTTAATTATTTTCTTCAAAAATATCATTCTTTTGTCATTGAATAATAAAAATTCTACGAATGCTAAATTACAAATTTATCCTTAAAATATTTTAGATTTACAAAAAAGTCTATAATTAAAATTTTATATGAAGTTCAGGGGTTAAAATAAAATTTTACCCTTTCATTAAACCTTTTTATATTTTTATTTTTGTAAAAAAATTATATAAATTTTATGAATTTAAATCTTTTAAATAAAATATATAAATATTTTCTAACTTCTTAAAAAATAAATATAATAAGGACAATTTGGTCAAATATACATTCCAATAATTTTTTATTCATTTAATCAAACACGATAATCTTACATTCCTGCTAAACCAACCAAACACAAAATACAACATTCCCAGTAATCCTTTTCCCTGATAATCTTACATTCCCACCGGTAATCTTACATTCCGTGAACCAAACGCACCCTTAAAGATAATAACATTCCCTTTTATCACCGACACTATTTAATATGTTCAATTAATTGATATTTTCATGTCATACAACTATAGATAGACGTGGATCGGATGAATTTTTAGTCAACTCAAACTCTATCGAGTATACTCAATCTGATTTAGGTTTAGGAAGGTTTCATCCAAATCTATTTTTTTTATAATGTGAACACGTATACTAATAATACACATACATATTATTATATCCTAAAAAATATTTGTGAAATAAATATAATTTTAATATTAATTCGATAAATAAATAACAAAATAAAGTAAAAGTAAAAATTTGTTATAAAGATAAGTGTAATTAATTCTAAATCAATTACTCTAAATTAAAAATAGTAAAAGACAAAAAAGAGGGGGGGGGGGGGAAAGATCTACTGAATGAATCATAAGAGTGCAAAAACAACATAGCCAAAGAGACCTATATCTATGAAGGTGGATAACAAGACACGTGGCAAATCGGGGGAGAAAGAGATAAAAAGATAAAAATTTAATAATAATAATAATAAAAGCTTAGTCACTCAAGAATTTAGGAGTTTTTATTTTTAAAAAATCGTTCAAATATTATAATATTATTTGTCATATATTATTTTTTAAAATTTTACCGATTTAATATATATTTTTTATAATGTACATTAGGTGAAACACGTTTTTATTTAGGTAAACCAAGTCACGTTTTCTGAAACGTATCTTCCAAAAGAAATGTTGATATGGCACCAAGTCGAAAGACGCCTTTCAAGGAGCGCCTCTTCCTATCATTCTTAAAAGCATTTTAAAAATATATGTTTTAAAAAATTAAAATTATTGAGACTAACATTATAATTTAATACATACTAGTTTCATTAGTTGAAGAGCTTTATGGGTTAGCTTATATAGACACGTTAGAGTGTTTAAGTTATGTTTTTTGACAATGTAAGATAAAATTAAATATTTTTATATGTTAATATATTTAAATAATTACACTAGGTTAATATTTATTATTAAGGTTTATACTAAATTAATCATATTCAATAAATAATATATTTATATGTCAATGAAATATTTTTAATTTGTGTTACATAAATTTTTTGAAATGATAATTAAAAAATAAGTATTTAAATATATTAACATATAAAAAATATCCAATCTTAATTAATATATACCTTAATAATAAATATTAATCTAATGTAATATAACAATAGTGAATAAGTATATTTATTAGATACAGAGATAAAAAAGTTAAAGAATACACCTTTTAACTTTTATCTCACATTATCAAGAAATACAACCCAAACACTCTAATGTGCATATATAATCTAATGTATTATAACACTTTTATCTCGTTGAGTTCTTCAACTCATAAAATTAATATGTATTAAATTATGATGTTAGTTTTTATTGTTTTATTTTTTTAAAAAATTTTAAAACATATTTTTTAAAATAATTTTAGAGATGATATGACCCTGAAAGACGTATTCCTTAAAACATGTATTCTAATATGGAACCATGTCAACATCCTAGAATGCGCCTTCTGTCAACTTAAGTAAAGACGTGTTTCATGTAATGCGTCTTATCAAAAGAGTATTAAATTAATAAAATTTAAAGAAACAATGTTTAACAGGTAATATTATAATATTTTAATAATTTTTAGTTAAGAACTTCACGAATATAACTTGACAGAGAGAAAATAGTTGAACTGTTCAATCAAAATCAGAGCTCATTCCCCCATAATAATAATAGTAATAATAATTAAACAAAAACTAAAATATAATTTTTACTATCTATTATGGTAATTATACTAAACTTTAAAAATTATAAATATAATTGGCTTATTTAGAAAGAAATTATTAATATTCTTTTTAGGAAAATAAGTTAAGTAAGAAATTATTTAGAAAATTATAGCAATTGTTATTAATTTGGTAAATAAGATAGAGTTTGTGGACATTTTTTTACCATTAAAAACAAAAGTAAAACAGTAATTTTTTTTAATTTTTAATTTAATTTTTTAACTTTTGACATGTGCTTAGAGTAGATTTGGATATGTGGAGTTGGTTAACTTCATGTGTGAGCTGGATCCACTCCCCAATGACTGACCCACTTTTAAATAAAAAAAATTTAAAAGAAATTTCATTGAATATTTTATTCAAATAAAATAACTATTAATTCCAGGAAGAAAAAAAAAAACCAAAACTTAAAGATGAGACATGCAAATCTCTTCATCTTGAATCTCTGTTTAGGGAAATTCTTTATCTTTCAGTTCAAATCTTTAACTCATCAACTTTGGGGTTCTTTGGGTTTTCAATTATGCATCAAACTATCAATCTGCTTAGTTCATGTTTAAGCATGTGAAAACCCAGCATCTTTGTGCAAAATTTCTCCCTTTTTCTTTGTGTTTGGAATTTGGATCGGTATTTTGAGAGATGAATACAAGTAGTGGGAAGGGATATATGTCAACAGCCAGCTCTAGTGCTGGCTGGAAAGCTGCAGATACAGCAGCAACCGCTGTTGATCAGTTTCCCGCTGGTTTGCGCGTTCTCGTTGTTGATGATGATCCAACTTGTCTTATGATCTTGGAGAAGATGCTGAGAACTTGTCTCTACGAAGGTATTTCTTCCCCAGGTCGTCTTTAAATATTTTGTTTGATTACTAATTTTTTTATTTTTGGAGCCATGGTTTTGTGTTTTTGATTAATGGTTGTTTTTCTTGTTCTTGATGTTGTTGAATTTTGTTTTTGGAAAAACAAAAGGGAAAAGAAATGGATCTTTGTTTCCTAGATTTGGCAATAGTTTTAACATTTTTTAAGACTCTGAGCTATGATTTTTGTGTCAGTTTAGTTTATGTTCGACGAATTGCTTCAATGAACTAGTTTGTCTTGATCTAGTGGATATGTAAAACGCAGATGCATCTTGTTTGGAGCTTAAGGGGTTGATTTTTCATTTGATTTGTGATGGTTTTATTTTTCAGTTACCAAATGCCATCGAGCAGAGACTGCATTATCTATGCTAAGAGAGAACAAAAACGGGTTCGATATCGTTATCAGCGACGTCCACATGCCTGACATGGACGGGTTCAAGCTTCTCGAGCATATCGGTTTAGAGATGGATCTCCCCGTTATCAGTTAGCACACATTCTTATCATATTTCATAGATGTTTGATATCGAGATATAACCGCTATGAATTCGAAATTTTGAAGTGATTTCGACTTGTATTTTCTGCAGTGATGTCTGCGGATGATGGACAACATGTCGTTATGAAGGGTGTTACGCACGGTGCCTGCGATTACCTAATCAAACCGGTTCGTATCGAGGCGCTGAAGAACATATGGCAACACGTGGTTCGGAAGAGGAAGAACGAATGGAAGGACTTTGAGCAATCGGGAAGTGTAGAGGAAGGAGATCAGCAGCTAAAACAATCGGAAGATGAGGTTTACTCTTCCTCTGCTAATGAAGGGAATTGGAAAAGCTCGAAACGTAGGAAGGATGATGAAGATGAAACCAACGAGAGGGATGATACATCAACGCTAAAGAAGCCGAGGGTTGTTTGGTCTGTTGAGCTCCATCAACAGTTTGTCGTAGCAGTTAATCAACTAGGCATCGACAGTATGAGTCTTTATCCTGTTTCTTTCTATTTCGCTGAATTGCTTTTTAAATTAACTTCAAGCACTGCTGTCTTTCCCCTTGTATGATTTTTCTGGTTGGTCTTCTAATATAGAGGCTGTCCCGAAGAAAATTTTGGAGTTGATGAACGTTCCCGGACTTACCAGAGAAAATGTTGCCAGCCACCTTCAGGTTGGTTGAAGTTCACCAAATGCCCGAACTTTTTACTTGCCTGCATCTGCATTTAATAAATTCTAATTACTTGAATTAAATTGTTATCGTGTGATCAGAAATATCGCTTGTATCTTAGACGGTTAAGCGGGGTATCGCCTCACCCGAGTGATCTGAATAACTCTTTTATGAGTCCCCAAGATGCAACTTTCGGGTCGCTTTCTTCGCTCAATGGGCTCGATCTTCAAACTCTTTCTGCCACTGGTCAGCTTCATGCACAAAGTCTTGTCACACTCCAAGCAGCAGGGCCTGGTCGGTCGACTGGTAAATCAGGCTTACCTGTGCCTCTCGTTGATCAAAGAAACATTTTTAGCTTTGAAAACCCGAAGTTAAGATTCGGAGAAGGGCAGCAACATGTGAACAATAATAAGCAAATGAATTTACTACACGGAATTCCGACAACCATGGAACCGAAGCAGCTTGCCGGGTTGCACCACGGTGCCCAATCAATGGGAAACATGAATATGCAAGTCACTTCCCATGGTCAGCAGAGTAGCCAAAATAATTCGTTATTGATGCAAATGGCTCAGCCACAGGCTAGAGGGCAGATGCTCAATGATTCCAGTCTCGGTCATGATCCGAGACTTGTCTCACCGATGGGGCAGCCTATATCATCCAACGGAATTGCTGCCAACGTCCCTACTAGAAATGGAATTCAAGAAAATATCAGAGCCCCTAGTTATAATCTGGTTTCGCAGAGCTCTTCGATGTTGAATTTCCCCATGAATTACGCTTGGGAACTACCCGTTAACAGTTTCCCTCTTGGAAGTACACTGGGGATTTCTAGTCTCACACCCAAAGTAGATTTTCAGGAAGCTGATATATTTAACGATTTGAATCAACATAAGCCCCAAAATTGGAAGCTGCAGAATGCAGGGATGACGTTCGATGCCTCTCGGCATTCGAACTCTCTTCAAGGCAACCTCGGTCACACCCAACCAGTTTTAGTTAAACAAGGATTTTCGTCTGGTCAAGTGAACGGACAGAACAGGAATGCACCCGTCGTAAGCAAGGCAATGTTCTCATCCGGAGATAGTACGGGGCAAGTAAATGCGCAAAATGGTAATCAATGTCTTAACTCCCTTCTTGTTGACGGTACCATAAGGGTCAAGTCCAAGACCCCTATCAGTCTATACCCCGATCACTTCGGACAAGAGGATCTCATGAGTGCTCTTCTGAAACAGGTTGGTTTCCTTTTCCTCTTCATTCACGTACATGAATCAATGGGGATTGTTAACTAAACATTCGGTGTGTTTCATTTTCCTGGCAGCAAGACGCGGCTGCACCAGCTGAACACGAATTCGATTTTGATGGTTATTCCCTCGACAATATTCTGGTGTAGGGCAACTTCCATTCTCAAGTTCTCTTTGTGAATCAACGGGGATATTCACTTAACACTAAACTGCATCTTCCTCCTGTGAATATCATGTTGTGCCAGTTCGTTTTGAACGTAACAGGTTCGGGAAAACGGATAATTCCGGATCGATCCGTTACCATTGGACGATAATTACGACTTCTGTAAGATACGTCCGCATGATACGCAAAGGCGATCGTGCGGAATTTTTATTTTTATTTTTTCGGTAATGAAATCTTGTAGGAAATAAAACTAACTTTTGGGTGTGCTTTTCTAAGCATTGTTTTTAGTCAGGAGCAGATCATAGGAGACTCTTCTTTCTCCAACTCTAATAACAGATGAAGTTTGATCTTCTGTTTTGGCTTCCATTTTTATATTTTCCGTGCACATTCTATCGGTTATATTCGGAATTCGTGATCGTCTCTTCTAATAACCTCATCGTCGATATAGGATTCATGGTTCCTTACGCTCCCTTCTGCACATGTCGCCATCGCTACTTCATCGACTCGAACTCAATTTAATTCGATTATCTCGACTCAAACCCTATAGGAAAGTGTCACCATCCCATGAATATAAATGGTGTTTGAGTTTGGAATTAATGGGATTTCTTTTGAGTCAATTTAGTGAAACATATAGAGAGAGTTGAAACTTGACAATTCACCAACTGGTTTATAAATACAACGTTCCTGTCATTGCTAAAGAAAATTTTGGGTACTAGTCCTTACATTTTACTCAACACCATTGTTTTAGCAATTGTAACTGATGTGTTGTTTTGTTTTTCAAAAGGAATCAATCAATTAAAAGAATCAATTTAGTAGTTACTAAAATTGACCAAAACTGATAGTTTAGGTACTAAACGCGTTAAGTTTTTAGCGGCAGATACTAAAATGAACTGAAAACTAAATGTTAGGTAGGTTTTGAACAAAATTGAAAATTTAGGTACTAAAATAGGTCAAAGTTGATAGTCTAGATACTAAATACGTAGTTTACCCTTTAAATTTTTTTAACCTCAATCAACGCTGTCTTTTGTTAGATGGCCTTTATATCATCTAACAATATGATTTACAAAATTAATCAAGTGACTCAACTGTAACTTTTTGAAATATGATGACCCATTTGTAAACATACAAATATAAAATGACATATTTTGTAATTTGACCAACAAATGATTTAACAACATATTGACTTGATTGCTACACTCGATTAATTAAATGGCTTGGTTATAAATTTTTAAATTAAGGTGAGCTAATTATAAACATACTAATAATAAAGTGATCTGTTAATATAATTTACCCCTTTACATTAAGCATCATTAATTAAGAAGTATTATCATAGATTCAAGCTGATTTGACTTTCAATTGACCCATCAAAAAGAAAAAAGTGAACAAAAGGGACCGACACTCTTTCATGCTGTCTTTTGGTCACAAGCCATCTCCTTAGCGGGCCCCACGCCCGATACTTTGTGCAAAATTAAAAAAAGGGGCTTCATCTCTTCCTATATTTCTTAAACCCCCCACCGAACCAGCCTGGAAAGTTCGCTCATTTCTCCTCGCCCTTTGCTAAAATTTAGCTGATAGATTTACTTAAATAAGGGTGTATTTGGTTCGGTTCGGTATTTTATTAAAATATAAATCAAATCGTATTTTGTGGGATTAAAACATAGGAACCGAAATCGAGTGACATAAAAACTACAGTTTTCAGTTCGGTTCAGATCAATTCGATAGTTTTTTACTGTTCAATACTTTTCAAATTCAACCTTCAAAAAAATTTAAAGCTTAAAACAAGTACAAATATATAAATTTAAATTTATAGAAAAATATTATTAGTTTTAAAATTTTATTTATTTAAATTTGTATTATAATGAATTTAATATGAATGTGTTTTAGATGTTTATTTTCTTTATTTTTTTATTAAGTTTAATTCGGTTCAAACGATTTTCATATAAAAAATTAAAACCGAAACATAAATTAAAAAAACTGAATCGAATCGAATAGTCTGATTCAAATCAATTTTCCGGTTTTCTCGATACCCATATGTTTAAATATAATATTTTTTATTATATTCTCTATTTCAATAATAATTGAAGATGGATATTGTTTTTTGTATTTAATATTTTAAAATAATAAATTCTGATAAATTAACCACGTGTAACTCGACACGAGAAAAACGTCACGAAACATAACAATACATTAATTAGTACGGTCGTGTAATTTAAACCAAAGTGTGAAAAGTTCATGGATGGGTAGGTTTTATCGTATATCTAGTGACGAAATTCATCTTTATTCATTAAAGAATTTGATTTCATCCCTAAATTATAACTATAATTTTACAATAGTCCTCCAACTTTTAAATATTTTAATTTTATCACCAAATTGTGACCTTCATTCAAAATTAGTCTCCAAAATTTTGAACATTCCTTGTTAATAAAATCGTTAGACCAAATTATATTATTTTCTGTTTGCAAAAAAAAACCAAATTTTAGGTTAAACTATTATTGAAGCTAATTACATATTTGGATGGACTTGGGGATGAAATTTGAATATTCAAAAGTTTGGGGACTAATTTAAAAAGAGAGTCATAGCTTAGGGAGATTATTAGAATGCTTAAAAGTTTAAGGAATAATTAGAATAAGAGTCATCTTTTGAGGATGAAAATAGAATATTCAAAATTTTAAGGCCCATACTCAAACAGAAAGTAACCTAAATTTAGTTTACCCATACTCGATCCAACCTAAACTTTGACCCAATTTTAACCAGATAACTGAGTTTGAATGAATAAAATAATTTTGTTTATTATTATATAATTTTAGAATTGATAAATAATAAAATGATATATGTTTTATTCTATTTTTCATTATACTACTAGTTAACCACCACTTCTAGTACTAGTTTAATTATTCAATATAATCTTTCCTTAGTTAAAATACCATCTATATGTATGATAAAATGAATTCCTACTCTGAATTTGAATCGTTACAATATATATTCACGTAAATTTATTAATTTTAAAGATTTATTGATTCAATTGATTAAAATTAAAACTTCTAACTCTGCATTTGAGACACGACAATATGATTACAGTATATATTCATATAAAATTCTTAAATTATAAGTAATTAAGAGAAGCATCAAACGTTATGACGACAAAAGTAACAACGATTGATTTCAAAATCTAAATATTGACTCGAAAATTTGAAGGTTGACTTTAATTGAAACCGATTTGAATTGACCAAAAAATCTAATGATTGACCCGAACTGATATTCACTCGACCTGAAGCCAACCATTCTGATATTAACATGACTCGAAAATCAACCGATCCGATTTTGGCTTGACTTAATACCCGACCCGAATTGTATTTCCATAGACCCGAATCAAATTCGATCTGAACCTAAACATAAACCGAAATAATATAGACCTGAAATAACCTGATTCGAATGACTCGATTATATCTAGTTTTAAATAGAGGTGAGTATACGGGTTACCCGTCCGTTTAGCCCGCGGATTTTGACGGTGCGGGCTTAAATGGAGCGGTTTAAAAAGCCCACAATTATAAACGATTTTAAATTCTAAGGCCCGCGGCCCGTCCATTTAACTCGCGGGTTAAACAGGCTTACCCGCGGCCCGTTAAATAAAAATAATTTTAAATGTTTTAAATGCAATAAAAAATAATGATCCAACTTGCTACACCTTTAAAAATGATCCAGTAACTTGAAAAGGAAGGTAGCACCGCTAAAAAATTAAATAATATTTAAATTTTATTTTAAATAGCTGGAAATGATTATAAAATAATATATTTTTTAATTTTTTAATCATTAATATATATATATAACGATATAATTACTTAAACTCAAATTAAAAGAAAATAATATTCACTTATATCACCAAATTGAAAAACAAATAAAACAATAACCATATTATATTTTTATAAAACACGATTATTCAATTCTATAATATGAAGACACAGAAGTGTCTGGAAGCAGAAATTCAAACAGAAAAACTCAACAAAGTCAAACATTATACAAATCTAACAAATTTTATTTTGTAAAAGTCTTTAAAAGTTGAAAAGTATGTTTTCAATTTTTTATTTTACTTTTTTTTAATCCAAATATTACGTGTCATGTGATATATTATTAAAATATTACGTGACTTTTTATAATTAAAGAACGAAATAGATAACATACTTCATGAAAAAAATAAAAGTCAAAATTAAATAAAAAAATCTTTAAATACCAAAGTGATAATGATGTAAATTTTATAAGACTAAAATACTATATAAATCTTTTAATTTTTATTTTTTAAAATGAAGAATATTTTGATACATTGTAAATGAAAAAAAAAATCAAACAGCGGGTAGAATTATGACAAATGTACTAATAAATTTAAGAACTACAATGGTTATAAGTAACATCATATTTATAGGTAATTTATTTTCTTTTTCTATAAAATTCTTTAAGTTTATTTTTTCTAAAATTTTATAAATTTTAAATTAAGCGGACTATTGCGGGCTTCGCGAGCTACCCGCGATTATACCCATTAAACCCGCGGGTTTAACGGTACAGGCTAAAAAACCCGCAATTTAAACGAACTTCAATTTTTTATGTCTAAAACCTGCATGGATAGCAGGTTAAACGGGTAGCTCGCGGGCTTTAGCCATATAACAGCTCTAGTTTTAAATATCAATGAGAATTCATGAACAATAAAAGAAAGCTGCTCAATGAGGCCAAAAGAACCACGTTTAGCTTGCGTTTTCTTCGCGACTTGCTCTCCTCTCCTATAAAATACCAAAATTACCACTATTATTTTTACTAAATAGACGTAAATCCCCTCTCATTCAAGGTGCGTTTGGTTCACGTAATATAAGATTATCAATGGGAATAAAAGATTACCAGGGAATAAAATTACTGGGAATGTTACATTACTGTGTTTGGTTGGTTTGACATGAATGTAAGATTACATTATTTGGTTGAAGGAATAAAAGATTACTGGAATGTATATTTTACCAAATTATCCTTGTTCTATATTTTTTACCAAGTGTAATTCTAAATATTTATATAAAAATTCTATCTATTGATAATATATATCAATATTTAAATATATCATATATTATTTTAATTAATATTAATATTAAATTTTACATAATTTATGTAAAAATATATTAAAATTTTACATCAACATTTAACTAAATGTTTACATTGTGAAAATTAGCTTCGGTTCATACGTGACGCATTCATTAGGAGGTTTCTTGTATTTTTCAATCGACAATGTTTACATTCTTATATATACAATAATTTATCATAGATATTAATAATAATAAAAAGTTGTAAATTATTTTTGTTATCTAATATATAATATTTATTATATCTTCTATATACAATAATTTATTTATTTATCTTTTATATTTATTATTAATTCTACATATTTTATCATTATTATTTATCTTATGAATTTATATTACGATCTTTCCTGCAAAATCAAATCCTTTGCAAGCACATAAGGAGGCATTTCGCCATCCATTACAAACTCAAAGTTGGTGGAACCCGCAATCGAATATTTATTATATCTTCTATATACAAACTTTATGACACCAAATCATCTAATTTCATGTCTTTTAGGTTGACTACGGATTTGCATTATCGTCAGACCTGATTAACCCATCCAATCCAACCTTGCAATAGGCTGCAGTGAAATACTGTTTCCCCCTAATTAAAACTGAAATCTTGTTTGTTTTCATCAACTGTTTTGAATCAGACATAAAATGTTTCATCAAACTGAACAGAAGCTAATAAAACTTAAAGTCTGTTTGTTTCACTGAAAATATTTTCCAGTGTTTGGATGGTTCATTGTAAAATGTTTTACATTGTTTAGGTAAATTTTCTTGAAAATTGTTTTAAGAATCTGTTTTTAATGAAAAAATTGTACATATTGAATATGTTTTATTATTTATTAATTTTTAAAGATTAATTTTTTATATATAATTATATTTTATAAAAATATGTATTTTAGATAATATTAATAATTGGTTAAAAATATATTATAAAAGTTTATAAATCCTAAGAATGTTTAATTAATAACACACCAAATCAATGGTCAAAAAACATTTCTCATAGAATAATCGATGAATGATAAGAATTTATTATAATGATCTGTCATGCTTTACAACATGTGTAAAATCCCAAAAGCTTCACCATGAATTCCTTCATGTTTCACATGTAAGCAATTGTTCAATCAAATACTGGGACTTGGAACTAAACTGGAACTTTCCAACTCCCATGTCCTTAGATATCTGAAATTCAAACCTCAAGTCCTTAGATACCTCAACCAAAGAAATAAAGCATGTGATTAGAAGCAAACAAGCATGCGTGCTAAAATAAAACTTGCATGAACGTGTTTTTTTCAAGATATCCATATTTGTAATAGAACAGCATAGGCATTCCCAAGAAGTTGTACTACAATTGAGAACGATAAAAGAAGAATGAGATGTATTCATAAGGAGAAAAACCTCAAAACAGAAATAATAATAATATTAAAACGTTAAAGGACTAATCAAGGTTGAAAGTTTCCAAAAATCATAGAGCAAACAAGTTAGAACACCAAGACAAAAGTGTATGCATTAGAGAGAACAGTATGATTAAAGAAGATCCATATAAAGAAACCAAAAACATCAACCACAAACATACTGCTGCATTTGCCAAGGAAATATCACAATTGAATTCAAATGCAAAGATCCATAATGGCAATTGAAAAAGAAGAAGAAGATAAACACATAATACATAGAAGCCTTGGAAAAAGTTGTAAGGTGTTATTATATGAATTGACATGACAATAGCATAAAGTGAAAAGTGGCATAACAGATAAATTAAACGTTGTTCTGAATGAAACACAACACCATATCCTGTTTCACCTCCATCAAACGAAGTTCATACAATCAGAGCAACATCTATGTAATATGCATACATGTATAAATTAATTCTAAAATCTAGTTTGTGGGGTCGAGAGAAATACCTGCTCTTTTCAAAACAAGTTCTTCCCTCCCCATTGCATATAAACAAGTTCTTCCCTCCCCATTGTAGTGTTCTTGCATTGAAGGGCATATGTAATTTGAAAGAAAGAAAAAAGTCAATTCTAAATGCACACCAACTCAAATATCAAAAAATTTGTTGAACTTTTCAACTATATTCAACTCAAATACAAGTCGAAAACTCATGTCTAAAAGACCCACCTGTTCAACTAGAAAAGTAATGCCACCATGATTAACCATTTCATAAGTCTCCCCAAGTATGGGATTGAATGGTTTCCAGGTACGTTGATAGGCATAATAGACATATATAGCCCATGAAGCTGCAATTAGCTACCATCAGTCACCTATTTAAACTTAGAAAGAAATAGAAGTTAGAAGAAACCTTACTAGTGTACACTAATCGCATGTAAGGATCTTCGCATTCATCAGCCAGATCTAACAGGTATGAATACTCCATTTTTTGCAATGACAAAAAAGAACCAAACACAACAAATAACTTTAAAGCAGTGGTTGGATATGAAAACACAAACCTCAGCCATTTTCTGCAACATTGACATTGGCTCAAAAATAAGAACTAAACAAACATATCACACCAAGAGAATAAATTTAATACGAATATGAACAAATAAACGAAATCCACAACAAGAGAATCATATACATAACAAACCCAAAATTAAAGCGATAATAAGAAGAAAGGGAACCGACCCGGCTTCAAAGAGCAATAGAGTACCCGACCATTTAGCCCGAATCGCAACTTGAACATTCTTCGGCCTTTGATTTTGAGCTCCAACAAAAGCGAAACCGCAAATTAATAAACAAGTGAGGAGGAACAAAATGCAAAAGCGAGATCTGAAAGGTGTATCAGTTTGGGTAAAATGAAAGTATATATTTCCCCAATCGATTTTCTATATGATTTCAAATGGAATTACATCCGACATTGATGAGTTAGAGATCGAGCTTTGGGGAGAAATGAAGGATTGATTTAAGGAAACAAACAAATTTAACCTTAGTTCATATTCTAATGAGTAATCCAAACATAACTGTATCAAATAAAAAAACTTCAAAATTCATTTACTCTTTTTCTAACAAACTAGATCTATTCAACTTCTACCTTATTATCCTTTTCTATGATACTACAGCCGCGAGAACAATCTTCCGTTGTACTGAAGAGAATAACAGAAACGAGGAAACTAAGGAGCATAGACATACCACAAACATTGCTTCAGGGTATTACTGTAGAAGATCGCTCAGAACAAACTCCAAAACCTTAAAAAAAATAGATGAAATTTTCACAGAGAAAAATATTCAAGAGGTTTTCGTTTGCAGAAACAAAAGCACAAAATATGAAAATAAAAGAAAGGAAATGGAGGATAAATCTTACCAGGATAAATCTTATTGGGAAAAAAACTGATTTTTTTTGCTTGGACAGAAGCGAGGTCACAAGGAGAAGAAGATAAAGGGTATTTTAGCCCAAACGCTTGAGAATAAACAAAAACTATAGAATATGTGAGAATGACATTCCCAATAATGAAGTTAAAAAAATTACTGTTGGTAATGAGATAATACCCTCAAGTAGGAATCTTTCTCATCCAAATGTGGGTATTATAATCTGGGGAAAAATATTCCTACCAGTAATCTTTTAATCCATGATCCAAATGCCCCCTCAGCGTAAATTTCGATCCCCTCATACCAAAAAAATAAAATAATATTAAATAAATAAAAATAGAATGTGTCGGTGTGTCATCTCTTAGAATTTTGAGCTACTCTGATACAATAATAATAAAAATAATTTTTTTAATAAATTTTAAATTTAATTTTATTTAGAGTGAAAGAGAAAAAAAAAAACTCTAATGGAATGAAGTAATCTTAGTGATATACATTACCTAAAAAAAGGAAACAAAAATAAATAATTTAATTAAATGATAAAATATAATTGAATATGACAAATGAAATAAATAATATCAAAATTCGTATATTTTAATCTATTACAAACGTGTATATGAAGACTGCATATGAAGACTATTCAACTATGTATTTATTTATACATGCATTGTATTTTATCTTTATTTTTTAATTTTATGACTGTCAAAGTTCTTCCACGGAAGCTGCTCTCAACCTGGCGTTGGGGACAGCTTACTACTCTACCTCCCCTTACCTCATTGCAAATAAAACTATGGTTTTGTTGTTGTATATTTTAACACATTAGCATGAATAATTATTATAAAGTAAATAAATAAATTAGCTGACCCTATTCTTATATGTAATGGGGTAAGAGAGAGGTACGATAGTAGGTTGTCCCTAACGCCATGTTGAGAGCAGTTTTCATGGGAGACTTCCGGCAGTCAGAATTATGAATTACCCACCGTGAGACTCGATCCTACGACCACAAGGTTAAGAACCTTGCGTTCTACCAACTGAGCTGAACGGCAAATTCAATAATTATTATAAAGTAGTTATTATAAAAATATATAGTGAATTTGTATAATGCATGATAAAGTAGGTTATTATTGTATAAGGTGACACGCCCTAACCCAACCCAGCTTTTATCTATCTCCATCTTTCTCCACTTCCTCTTGCCTGCTTTTGAACATTCCAGTGGATTAAGAAGGAAAGATTTGTCTTTTTTTTATATAAAAAAACAGTTATTTGTTGTTAAATCTTTCTAAAGATGGAAAGTTTTCAGACAATTATCGTCATTACAACACATCTGATGATGCTACTGAGTTCAGCATCAGCAGCTTCGAATGCGACATCCTTAGTACCAGATCGAGTGCACCATGTGTTCCTCGTGCGAGAATCCATGTCAGAAAGTCCCGTCGAAGCCTCCACCATCTCCACCGCCTCCGTCTCCACCGCCGCCTGCGGTTCCCAACCCTAACTACTGTCCACCGCCACCTTCTCCTCCCAGTTCCAGCGGGGGTGGAGGTGGAAACTACTACTACTCTCCACCTCCGCCATCCCAATCCAGCGGCGGAAACAACTACTACGCCCCACCTCCACCGAGTGGCGGCGTCATCGGCGGCATGTATTACCCTCCGCCTACGTACAGAAACTACCCGACGCCGCCGCCACCCAATCCTATCGTCCCTTACTTCCCTTTCTACTACCACATTCCGCCGCCGCCGTCGGGGGCTCAGAATTTGTCGGCCTATTGGATTTCCACCTTGGTTTCTGTTCTGGGTCTTTTCCTTTTCTTCTTTTAGATGTTAAAAACTAGATGGAAAATAATGTGGCGGATTGACAGATCTGGGGAAAGTTTTATGCAGCTGAGAGAAAATGGAAGAAAATATGAGGAAATAAGGCATTTGCAAAGGATGAAGAACATGAAGTAATAATCTTTCTTTTCTCTTTTATTTTCTTTTTCATGCTGTAGATTAATTATGTAATTTGTTCTTATGATTAACTTTTTGCATCTATTTTTTGGTTCAATTAGTGTTAATTGCAAACTAATAAGGACCCTAAGTTAATTACACCTTATCCTCCTCTCCGGTTTACCGATGGTCTAATTATTTAATTATTTTTAGGATTTTTTTAATTTAATTCATCTGTTATCATTTCTTGTCGTTTGTTTGATTTAGGGTTACCAATTGAATTTTAATTATTACATTAAGTAAATAGAATTTTAGAAATTAAAATAGAGGAGTCGAATTAAATAATTAAATAATATCAGTGACTAAAATCGAAGTTAAGCCTTTCTCCTTAGCTTTTGCACCATTCAATGAACGGACTACCTTCCTTTTCCATAATGGGCTGTCCACTCCTCTATTTCCTTTTCCCTTTTCTTTTAATTAATCTTTTTTTATGAAAATAATTACGTCATCAATGAAAGAAATGAAAACAATAAATCGTAATATTAAAAAATATATAAATTTTATTTAAAAAGACGTATCTTTGATAAATCAAAATTAAATTATTTTTGGTTTGTGATTTTCAAATCTTGCATCATATAGTTATGAGTTGTTTCGAGTGTTTAAATATAATATTTTAAATACCGAGTGTTAAGACAATATTAATATGTGTGTGTGATATGGTTATGCTCGGATAGATGGGTCGCCTTACATATGAAGACTATGGATTTAAACTGTATTTATGGTTACGTTTTTAATTATATTGTGTTTATCGTAAATACAGATATATCCGATATTATCATAGTTATATAATAACGATTTCAGACACTACTCTTATCGCGGTAATATACATGTATGGGGAATTATCTTGGCTTTTTTACCCCACTGACACCGTTTATTTTTATTTTTACTTTTCTAACACCGTTCGACCAATATTTCCAAAACTAGCACCCTTTCTGCTGAGTTGGCAAAGGCGCGTCCCCGGGGGCGCGCTTTACCCGTGTTTTCGCTGAGTTGGATGCCACGTGTGAAAGGCGCGTCCCCGGGGACGCGCCTTTGCCATATCAGCAGACACGTGTGGAAGGCGCATCCCCGGGGACGCGCCTTCCATTAAATGTCATTAATGCCCCCATCCGTTTTTCCTAACTACCCCTCCTCCTCCCCTATATAAACCCCCTCAACCCTCACTCATTCTTCACACCAAAATCATCTTCTCCTCTCTTATATAACTCAAATTCTCCAACTATTTGAGTTTTAAATTTGTTATTAGTGGTAAGAAATTTATTTTTATGTTAGTATTTTTTTAAATAGTTATTATTTTTTATATAATATATTTATGTAAATATTATTTTATTATTAAAATAATATTTATATAATTATTATTTATTTAGAATTATTAATTTTTTTGCTAATTATATTGTTTTGTCTACAGTTATAATGGAAAACGAAATGCTGTTGCGATTGGATAATGATCATATCTCCAGACATTTTAGCGATATGGTAATATTTTTTATAATTAATGTTAATATTTAAATTTATTTTTATTTTAAAGTTATTATGAATTTATATTAATTTTTACTTTTTATAATATATATTATTTAGGATGCTGATCGTATTTTAGAAACTTTTATTAAAAATCCACGTATACCGACACCGGAACGTATTTTGCCATATTTGGCTTCTGCTGGGTTCGGGTATATTGCAACAATTATAGGCGGTTGCAAACTCGAACCTGTCCTAATTTCTGCACTGATTGAGAGGTGGAGGCCCGAGACACACACTTTTCACCTTCCATGTGGAGAGGCAACAATTACGTTGGAGGATGTCTCTATGCATCTGGGGCTTCCCGTCGACGGAAATATGATGTGTGGTATGGCGGATGGTGATTGGCAATCAATGTGCATTGATTATCTTGGAGCTGCTCCGCCAGAGTTTAATGGAGGTAGAATAGCTTTATCTTGGTTGAAAGCTAATTTTGAGGTTTTAAATGAAAATGCTTCAGAGGATCAAGCAAAGGCATGTGCTCGGGCATATATTCTACGAATAATTGGAGGAATATTGATGCCCGACAAATCTCGCAACCAGGTGCATTGTATGTGGTTGCGGCATCTGATCGATTTTGATGAAGCTGGAAGATATAGTTGGGGTGCTGCAGTTTTGGCATTTCTCTTTAGAGAAATGTGTCGGGCGACGAATTATAAGAAAACTGCTATCGGTGGATGTCTTCTGCTTCTACAATCATGGGCGTGGTTCCGCATGCCTTTCTTATGCCCGATCGTGAATGAACCATACGTATTCCCCTTATTGTTGAGGTAATTTTCGAACTAAATTTTGATTTAAATATTTTCAATTAAATAGGGTGATATTTAGTTTATATTATATTTCATAGGTGGTCGATGAAAAGAAAGGACCATAAAAGTATACCTACTGTTTTAGAGGAAATTCGTTTACTTATTGATACGAAAGCTGGGTCTGAGGTATGTTTTTAAATTTGTTTAATTATTAATATTTTAATTTAAAATGTTAGATATAATTAGAATATTTTATTTATTTGAATTGTATATTTATATTTCAGTTTCAGTGGATACCTTATGCGAGCGATGAAGTGAAAGCTTGCATCCCACCCCACCTTAGAGGGTCATTAGAGGTATGGATATCGGTTATACCTCTTATATGTTATGCTATTATTGAGTGGCATCCAGTTGATCGCGTGCTCCGTCAGTATGGTTGTACGCAATATATTCCTGGAGCTCCTAGAAATTTAGACGACGTGCATAACATAGATAGACGGGGAAAGAAAGATGTTAACTGGGTGGTGAGACACAGAGATTGGATTGCGCTTTGGGAGAACCGATATACACTGTTGGCCCCTCGACAATATTACGCTGAAACTGGTCATATGGTTACGGATAACTATATGGACTGGTTTAATGAAAATGGGAAGCCGTTTCTACTTTCGGCGGAAGCACGAGGGGTTAACATTCCTAGGCGCCGAGAAAGACGTCAACCGTCTCAATATCATCGTCCCCCGACGCGTGGACGGAGAGAAGGCGCTACCGGTTCTGCATCAGTCCCACCACAACATCCTTATTCGTCGATGCCGCAGGGGTACATGCCCAGCCCTCCACTTCATATGCCAAGCCCACCAGTTTATATGCCATCTCCGCAGGGTTACATTCCGAGCCCGCAGGGTTACATTCCTAGCCCGCCAGGTTACATGCCTAGCCCGCCAGGTTACATGCCTAGCCCGCAGGGTTTTATACCATATGGAGGTGCATATACGACTATGTTTAATGATCCAGCATATGCTTCATATGCATCTTATTTGGCTGGTGGTGCTTCTCCGCAGACACCTCAATCTTCATCTGGATCACATACATCGATGCCAATGTTTCCACAGTTTCCACAGTTCCCGGGGAGCGGTGGGATTGTTACTAGCACTCCTCCAGGGTCGTTATTTTATACAGGCCCTTCAGCCCCTTCAGCGTCATCTGCACCAAATGAAGAAAATGCTGCTGATGATGATAGTGAAGATGAGGAGACTGAAGAACAAGTTCCACGAAGAAATCCTCCACGAAATAGGCAACCACCGCCATGTGGAACTCATTCGAGACGACGACATCGGTGATCCAGTTATATTTAATGTTATTTAAATAATTAAATTTCAGAATTTTATGTAATTTGGTTATGTTATTTAAATGTTTCATGGTTGTTACATACATATTTTTTTATGTTATTTTTTATTCACATTTAACATTAAATGTTTGATAAATGTTTTTAAAATACAAATTATATTTTTCGAAATTTAAAATAAAAATAAAAATAATATTATTCAAATTTAAATTTAAAATATACTAGAATACATTGTGATATGGATATTCGGGAGAAGTCAACAGAACAAAAACGATGTGGGCATTGTAGAAACATCGGGCACAATAGAAAAAAATGTCCAGCTCTGTTATCATCATATAACCGTTAACTCTTATGTAATTAAAGTTTTTAAATGAATGTTTTTATTTCTAATAATTTAATGTTATTGCATTTATATAATTTGTCAATGTATGTACACCTAAATAATTTTTTTTAACTTTTAAATACATAAATATATTTAATATATTTATTTAATATAATTTTTAATATTATTAGTTATAATTTTTACATTATAATCGAAACATTTTACATAATATATTATTAATTTATAATAATAATAAAAATAAACTATTTATTATAAAACAAAATACGTGTCTGCTGAGTTGGCAAAGGCGCGTCCCCGGGGACGCGCCTTTCACACGTGGCATCCAACTCAGCGAAAAAACGGGTAAAGCGCGCCCCCGGGGACGCGCCTTTGCCAACTCAGCAGAAAGGGTGCTAGTTTTGGAAATATTGGTCGAACGGTGTTAGAAAAGTAAAAATAAAAACAAACGGTGTCAGTGGGGTAAAATCACCAATTATCTTAGCATGGAAGGAACAAGGTGGGGGACAATGAACCAAAATGGGGTAGTTTTGTTATACGGTAGTCGAATATACAACTTAAGGAAATGTGCTACCGAAAATTTTAATATTTTTTAATATTTTCGGTAAAGTGCTACATAAAATTTTATTTTTTTACTGGAAATGTTAATTTTGCTCCCTAATTTTCGGTAAAAAATAACATTTCAGGTAGAGCTTAATATTAACATTTTCGATAAAAAAATATTTTAGATAACGCTTTACTAAAAATATTAAAAAATTATTAACATTTATGATAATATCTTTTATTAACAGTATATTAGACTGTTTTTTCTTATACATTCTGTCAAAACGTTGACAATATTATGTGGGAATGAAAGTAAGAATTCCAAAGGCAATTAAATAGGTGGATGGCACGTCTATGGGTTCCAAACCCTATAGTTTAAGGGGACGTTTGGTTCGAGATATATCACATTATCGAGAGAATGAAGTGTCATTCATCCGTTTGATTGACAGACATTCTCAGCTCCCGTAATAAATTATTTTCAACAGTGATGTTTTGAGGATATATTACTAGGAATGTAATTATCCCTCTTTCCTTAGGTATTGTTACATTCCCAACGTTTTGGACTAAAATGCCCTTAAATATTTTTTCTTCAAAAATATCCTTATGTTGTTGAATAAAAAAAGTTATACGAAGGTTAAATTATAAATTTATCCTTAAACTATTTTAGATTTACAAAAAAAAAGTTCATAATTAGAATTTTATATGAAGTTCAGGGATTAAAATAAAAATTTTATCATTTAAGTAAACCTATTTATCTTTTTAATTTTGTAAAAAAAATTATATGAATTTTATGAATTTAAAATATATAAATTAATCATAATAATATTATAATAGAATTCAACTTGTTAAAAAAACAAATATATAATGAGGACAATTTGGTAAAATATGCATTCTAATAATATTTTATTTCTTTAACCAAACACGGTAATCTTACATTTCTACTAAACCAACCAAACACAAAATACAACATTCTCAGTAATCTTATTCCCGCCAGTAATCCTATCATGCCGGTAATCTTACATTCCATAAACTAAACGCAGCCTAAAGGTATCCCATGGACATTGACAGATGGATGCCCATAGAATTTGGTTGCCTTTGCATAACAATTTTTTTCTTCTAATCCTGGTCTCAATCCTTCTATTTTTCACATATTTGAAATTCAGTCTCTCTGTTTTTAATGTTGATAAACTAGGTTTTCTACTATTTTTATTTAATAATTAGGGTAAAAGACACTTTCCTTATAGATTTGATATAAAATGCACATATCCATATAGTTTGAAAAATACTCATTTAGCCCCTAGGATTTATTTATGATGTATTTATTCTTATCAATTATTTATTATTTTATTTATTTTTATTATCTTCAATAAAATTTTCAACAACTTTTAATGCAAACAGTAAATGCTTCAATTATTGATTCTAGTATTTTATAACCCTAGATTCAAAAATTTTATGGATAAATTAAGCATTTAGTATATAAATTACCAGTTTTGGTCCTTTTAGTACCTAAACTTTTAATTTTTCAAAACCATACTTAACGTTTAGTTTTTATTTTATTTTAGTACCCGGCCTTAAAATCTTAACGTGTTTAGTACCTAAACTATCAGTTTTGATCCGTACTAGTACCTAAACTTTCAATTTTTCACAACTTGACGTTAAATTTTGAACATGATACTAAAATGAAACAAAAACTAAAGTTTTTAACAGCAGGGTATTAAAATGAAACAAAAACTAAACTTTATGAATTGTTTTGAAAAAAATTGAAAGTTTAGGTACAAAACAGACCAAAACTAATAGTTTAGGTACTAGAAATGTAATTTATCCATTTTTTTGTTTAGACAGCATTTCACACATGTAACATTGACAAAGTTGACGCATTTTTTTTATTCTGAAAATACTACATAATCGATTTTAACGCAAATCCTTTGACAGTGTTATCAATCGAATTGCCTAAGAACTACAATTTTGACCACTTTTTCCCCCTTCGGAAATGCAGTGGAACTCTCACAGTATGCCTTAGTTTATGGCTATGGTGCCCTACAATATCCTAAAGTTATCTAGTTCTTAATGCCCTCCAATTTTGCTTGGAGAGAAATAGAATGCTTCAGATCTCCAATATGTAAACTATGTGCACCCATCGGAATCCTTCGAATCCCGAATTCATCGACGATGCTAAGGTGCTCGCATGCATGAATGTCGATATGGACTCGTTGTATCGATCCGGCGGTTACGTGAACTCTACGAAAACCTATCAATTGCTTGTCCGGGGACCATTTTATGGTGGCGGGTGGCTCGGAGAAAACGAGCAAAGTGTGAGTTCCGTCCATATCGCCGGTGTTTTCGACGTCGATGTGGAGAGGTAATGAGAGTGAGTCACATTTGGCATGTTTCACCCTGATGGCATTGGTTGATAATGTTGAGTAGTTTTTGGCGGCAAAGAGATTGGTGTTAATAAGCACTGGGAGATCAGTTGGAGAAAAGGCTAAAGATTGTTTAAAGTGTGTATAGCTCAGGCCGTGACCGAACGGAAACACGACCGGTCCTTTGTAGAACCGATAGGTTCTTCCAGGATAGCCACCGGATGGCCGCATTCCCATGTTCATCATCGGCACTTTAGCTATGTATGATTGCGGATACCATGTCATCGGCAGCTTTCCCCCTGTGGAATACCATCGAATTAGCTCGGAAAAAGTTCGAAAACTAGACATCGAGCAAGTGAACCAAATTGAATAAATCTTGATCAAGTTACCTGGATTTGTTGTTCCAAATAAAACATCTGCAATTGCTGCTCCTCCAGCTTGACCCGGATAACCAGCCCATAAAATGGCGCTTATTCGACGATCGTTCTTGGCGAACGAGACGTCGATTGGGCCACCTGACATCAAAACCAAAACTGTAGGTCCCCTGGAGGCTCGAGCCACCCTGGAAACCAACTCTTGCTGGTGTCCTGGCAAGAGCAGCCCTTCCCTGTCCCTAAATTCCGCTTCCATTGATTGGTCGAGCCCCATCACAAGCACCGTTGCATCGGCCTGGCGAGCAGCAGCTTCCGCAGCTCCAAACAGATTGTTTGCAGTACAAGCAACGTTTGAACAGCCTGCCTGATGAATAGTCCTCGCATATCTCGAAATACCTTGCAAGGGACTCGTGTAACCGCATGCCACTCCTGCATCAGACATGCTTTTACATCCAATACTTGTACTCGAATCCGAGTAATATAGACTAAGAACACGAGCAGTTTACCTGCATAGTTTCCTATCATTGTTTCAGTGACATCTGAATTGGGTCCGATAACCGCAATGGTCCGATGATGATGCGAAGTGGACAACGGCAAAGGCCCGGAGTTCTTTAGCAAAACTATGCCCTGTCTAGCAGCCTCGAGAGCAAGTTGTTTATGAGCTGGCGTGCACACATGTTTCGGACCCAAGCGTCCGTACGGTTGAGCCGATGGCTCGCCGTCAAACATGCCGAGCCTCATTTGGACCGTCATGGTGTTGGCTAGAGCCATGTCAACATCAGCCTCGGCTAACAAGCCCCTCCTTATTGCCTGGTCCGTATAGACTGCCAAAAATGGTCCGCAATCCAAATCCAAACCTACAAACCGAATATCCGAGGCCGTAAAAAATCGAATAACGGGTCGGGGCGGATCGAATCCACGTATTTTCAAGTTGTGTCTGACCTGCTTTGATGGTAGCTGCAGCAGCCTCTTCTGGTGTAGCAGTGAAATGCTGAGTGTCATACATTACACCAACTGAATCACAATCTGATACAATATACCTAATGAAGCCAACACAAAAACAATGAAACAAAACATTAGATAAACAACCTTAAATGCCTCAAACAAGGATTTTTCGGATTAAGTTGATCAGAACGAACCCATTGAGATGCCATTGGCCTCGAATCGTGCCCTTGAGTAGGTCCGGATCGGCACAAGTCGGCTTGCCATTCACTTGATTGTAAGAACACATCACACTAGCAACTTTCCCTTCCACCACACAAGCTTTGAATGGCACATCATATGTATCCACCAGGTCTTGTTTACTAACCTGTATAAAGCGTTACAAATGTCGATATTCAAATCTCGATTCGAACTCGAATTCAAGCGTGGCGTGGGGTTCGAACACCAAACATAATAGGACGATCTCGATTACCCTGGCATTGAAATGGTATCGGTCCACGCCCTTCCAATTATCAAGATCGTAAGCAGTGTAGTGTTTGCAGCAGGCGGCGACTTTTAGGCGGTTCCCGACAGCGATTTGGAGGCCCCGGACATAGTTGGCGGCATATTTACCTGCGAGAACCGGGTCTTCGCCGGGAGTTTCTTGGCCTCGACCCCATCGCGGGTCACGGAATATGTTCACGTTAGGACTCCAATATGTCAAACCAGCCATTCCTCCATTGTACATGGCTCTTGCTTCATCTGAAACCACCTGCAATCGTCCCAATATGTCGGATTCGGGTCGGGTGGAGGGTGTATTATTTTCGAGTCAGATTGTGAAAAATGTATACTTTTTGGGTCAAATCAGGTGATCGAACCCGACCCATGCCCAACCCTAAATAAATTTGCAATTTAATTGAAATCGCTTTCAATCACCCACCGTTATATTAGTTTATAATTTTCCTGTTTTTTTTTTGCAATTAATAACCATAATAATTTATTTTTATCCGAAGTTATGGGCATATGAGTTAAAGAATTAAACTAAGTGGCAATATGGGCATACGAGTAAAAATTTCAGAACGAATTCGAATTTAATTTAATTGATTTATATTATTTTTGTAAATAAATGATATTAAACGATTTTAAATGAGTGTAAAATTTTACCCGTCCGATTTTCTCCCACAACGATTCGTTGAACGAGGCTGCGGTGGTGATGACTTGAGGGAAACTAGTGGCACCCGGGAACGAACCGCCGAACTTGGTCCCCGGACCGACGTTGGACACCCCGTGGAGAGCCTCGGACCACCACTCGTACCCCTTAATCCCGAGCCTCGGCACGGCTATCGCATTGTTAACCAACAACCTGGTCTTCTCTTGCAACGTCAACCTCCCCAGCAAGTCCCTAACCCTCACGTGAATCGGCAAATTCGTCCGGCAGAACTGCAAACTCCTCGTCGACGCATTTCTCGGGTCGCATGCAAACGGTGTTCGACGAGACTCCGTCGAAGAAACGGAGAGGATGGCAAGGAGAAGATGTTGTAGAAGTGCAAGTCTTTTAGACATCTTTGAAACTTGGAATGCTTGTTTTGGTATGTGATGGTTAAAGCCGATATATATACAGTTGGAAAGAAATGTTAAAACATTTAAAAAAAATTATATATATATATATATATTTATTTATAGTTAAATTTTAATAAAATATTATTTTGGTCATAATATATATATTTTATACTAATTTTTATAATTTAAAAAATGTATTTTATTCATGACCGATTTATACATACCATACCTAAAAGTAGGACTATGTAACAGAACTACCGCGGCTTTAAAAGGAAACAAAAAGTCATTAAAAGGTTTAATTTTGATTTTAGTCCCTTTTTTATGATTAATTGTAAGACTTAATCTCTATATTTTAATTTAATATAATTTGACCCTCTCTGTTCAAATTTCTGACACTATTGTTAAGGTAATTTCCCCCCGGGTAAAATAACGATAAATATTGAACTAATATGTAAATTTATAATTGATTGTCGCTTTAGATGTCGTTGCTAATTTGGATCTATCGATAACACTATAACAGTGAAGGGATTAAATCATGTCAAATTAAAGAAGAGGGACTAATATCATAACTATACAAAATTAGAAATAGTACAATGTTGAAGAAGAAGTTGTAGTTATGGTGGGGTCACGGACCAAAGAATCTTTCTTTTTCTGATATCGGTCACGTTAACCGCACATTAAACAGAAGTGTATGGGTTTTACTTTCTTGCTTATTTAGGTCATTAAAATATAAGGTAATTTATGCATTTAGTACCTAAGTTATCAGTTTTGGTTCGGTTTAATATTCAAACTTTTAATTTTTTTCAATCTTACATAACACTTAGTTTTTGTTTTTGTTTAGTACCTCACCGTTAAAAATTAGCGGGTGATTTAAGAGTGACACCTTTCTCACGAGAAAATTATAACATTCATAACTCAATTATCTTCTCAATCCTATTTTGATCACTAAAGTTTTTATAAAAATTTAATTACTTAACTTTCAAATTACTCCTAATTTAGTCACTCAAACTTTCAAATTTAATTGTAACTTTTAATTATATATTAAAAACTAATAATATAAATACCATGTCACAAAAATTATTAATAAAATAAATTAGAATGATTAAAATAGGAGCAATTCGAAAGTTGAGTAGTTAAATTAAAATTTTCAAACTTTAATACTAAAATAGGAGTGAGAAGATAGTTGAGTGATGAATGATGTAATTTACCCATAAAAATGATGTCGTTAAAAACTTAACGACGAAATATTAAAATGAAACAAAAACTAAATGTGGGATATAATTTTAAAAAATTGAAAGTTTAGGTATCAAAATTAATTAAAACTGATAGTTTAGGTACTAAACATGCAATTTACCCTATATATTAACTTTTATTTTATTTGAAAACTAGTGGAAGAAGTAATAGGCGTGTGTGTATATATATATAAGTCATTTTTTCATCTAAACCGCATATACTTTATCTTAAATTAGATATGAAAATGACATTAGTGTATAATTAAAACTATTAAAAACATTTCGTGTATTAAAAATCTCTGACTTTTACATAAGGCTCTAATTAGATTAAACCTCCGAAATCTAAATCAAATCGGATTGAGTTTCAAGTGAAAGAATATGTTTCTCGAATCAGATTAAATTGGTTGTGAATCCGATCCAACTCGATCCATGACCATCTCTTATAAAAATTATAAAATTAAAAATTCTATCATCAATACATCAAATAATTATTTTTTATACATAATATAATATAATATAATATAATATAATACCAATTACAGAACCTATACCTACCTCACATGCTCTAATATAGAGTGACTTAAGTTAAATTATGAATTTTGGATAGGGACCAGAGTGAAAATTTTCCAATCAACGAAGGACTGAATATGATTAAATTGTAGGGGGTTAAATAGGTAACTGTACCATTTAGTCAGGGGGCAAGGTTTGTTGTGTCGAATTTAAGACCAAACCCTTTTAGTTTTACATTAATGGATTGTTTTGTTGTTTTCTTTTCATTTAAGGCCATGGCATGGAGCCATAAGGGATGATCCATTCACAATTGAATCTAGGGTAAACTGCATATTTAGTACTTAAACTATCAGTTTTGATATGTTTTAGCACCTAAACTTTTAATTTCTTCAAAACACACCTAACGTTTAGCTTTTATTTCATTTTAGTACACTGTTGTTTTAAACTTAATACATTTAGTCGAGAATAATGTTATATTCAAACTAAATTTCAGGTCGAAAAACTTCTCTAAATCCCTAGCCATACACATGGTTTTGTTAAACACTTGTGACATTTCACTTTTTGGACCGTTGAACATGTGAGCGAATGAGGTAATTTCTACGAGAAAACTTACATAAAAACCCACCAAATTTGAAAAATTGTAACCAAACATTTACATTTGTAGAATTTGTTGAACTTTAAAGTTGAAAGAAAATCAATTAGCAACACTTCAAGACGCCTCTACTTTAATAAATTGTCACACATAAAAATTCACTTTTTAAAATAAGTCCTTCAATTATTATGTGTAACCACTTTAAGTACCTAAACTATTTTTTGGTCAAAATAAGTCCCTAAACCATGTTTTTTTTGCTCCAAGCCCCTAAACTATTTTTTTAATCAAAACAAATACCTAATTTTTGTGACGTGTCAACATCTTATTGGCCGAAAAATATTTTTCCAAGTGGAAAAATGATAGGACTTAAAATGATTAAATATAATAATATAAGTACTTAGTTTGACCAAAATATATTTTAGGGACATAAAACAAAAAGATAATATAGTTTAAGGAATTATTTTTACTTTAAGCCTAAATTATATAAAATAGTCATTAAATTTATTGAATGATTACAAAATAATCATTAATTTTATTGAGTTGTTATAAATGATCCTAGCCAGAAATGTGAGTTCTTTTCGATTAGTTATTTATTTTAACAATGATGTCTAACCTAAAATTTTTCGAAATCTGAGTTCTTTTCGATTAATTACTTATTTTACGAATGTTGTCCTTCATAAAATTTTATTTATACTGATTTCATTTAAAAAATTTATGTTGTTAGTGTACGTATACCCACTCTGAAAAATATTTTTGGACCTACAACCGATGAAAAAATATTTTGGGTGCTATATAATTAGTACCAATTTCTCTTGGGTCATTTGGTCTGCAGCCAATCCCAGCTGTTTTCTTGCTAAAATGAAACACTAATTATCCAAAAGAATCTACTAAAGTTACACTTAAATGGATATTGTGGGGTTTGAATAATTAGGTTTTACAACCGACTGCCAATGTTGAAATAATTGGCTTCCAACTGCTCTTGGAAAATCTTGTTCAAAATTTTAATTGCATTAAAAGCCATTAAACTATGACTCGAATTACAAATAGATTCCCCAATTTCAAGACATTTTAATTGAGCTCTCAAAGCATTAGTTTCAAGCCATTAATTGTATCAAGTCGGTCCTTTCATCGGTATACATAGCCATTAGTTTAGGTGTTAAAATACGATGTTCATAATTAAAACACATGGGTCAAATTTATAAATATGTATGTACCAATTACATAAATAATTTGGATCTGATGTGTTCAAAGAATCATCAATGTCTTTATTTTACCACGTCAGATCCAAAACATCCATGCAGTGTGGTTTTCCCTCACATATTTTAGATATGTTTCATATCGAATCCGAACTTATATTTAAGGATAAAATTGAAGCATTTTAAAATTTAACGACCGGTATATAATTTAAACGATAGTTTGGAAAATTTATATAGAACATTCTTATGATCTTATCCATTGAAATTTACAATTAGGTGACGTATAGAAATGGCACTCCCTTCTTCTCGATTTAATTTTCATCAAAACCATATCTTTTAATTTGATTTTAAAGGTTAAAATTATCTGAATAGGTCAAATATTTTGAATTTAATCTAGAAAATGACACTATATAAACGAATATAATATGATCTTATATTTATCTGATTCAAAATATAATTTTTTTTGAAAATAATATAATTCTTTTAAATAATTTATCAGATCGAATATTATATATATATATATAATTCTTTTGGAAATATAAGTTTTTCGTCTTTCCTTGTGGGGTTTGGTGGCCATGGGGAGTAGACTCGTGGTGGTTTAGTGGGATGGTTTTTGTTCGGATTTTGTTATGACATTCTTTTTTCTACGGTTAGGTTTAGAGAGTTTTTTTAATCAGGCCCATTTCGTACTCCTCTCCCAACATTTTCAATAAATCCAATCCTTTACTTTTTAAAAAAACAGTAAAAAAAATACTAAATGAACAAATACGAACAAAAAGAAAATATACCTTTTTATCTCTTTTGTAATTGTAAAATGTCGATAAGGATTTAGGCTGCAACCGGTTCACTTACTGGACTATGATTCGATGCAGCGGCTTTAACTGGTTTAGAAGGGGAAAAGAGCATTTGCCATGAGTTTGAGAACATGATCTTAAAATGGCAAATGGAGAAAACGGAAATCAGAAACTCACTTTGGCTGATTTAAATAGTTCGTCGAGAACTTCAGAGAGCATTGCACTGCAAATTTTATGTCCTGCATGGTCGGATCTAGTTAATAAACAGAGTTCGGGGAAGATAAGTGATCATAAGTGATTTGGTTTTGGCACGGAAGATGGACCTGGATTCGTGTCCCTAAAGCTATGGCATTTGACGCCTCGTGATGAGGTCCGCCGCATGCAACCCAAATATATGACTCCGAGTATCTCTCCGTTGTCGGGTCTGTATATCATCTGCATGGAGATAACATAGCTATAACTTAGCAACCGCATGCAGACAATATGATGTTTAAAAGATAACAATGCAAACAAAACGATGCGGAAAAATCAGTTCTGCATAAATCTAAACCACATAGGGACTTTAGTTCATGACATTCGGAACCGTACGAGACTGTATGTGTTTCGATTAGTAATTGTTTAAGAGTTCATTACTTTTCTACCGCAGATGGAGAAAAGTGCGACAGGAAATAACCTTAGCAAGTCCC